TCATTTGGTCATCCCTCACTAACCCCCCTGCCAGCCTGGTTGTAGGCAGCCATCTTGTGAGGGCGTGAGGGTTAATTTGCATATTACCTCTTTATTATATAGGATAGTGGAAACAGACTGAAAACAAAACATTATTTATTAAGTAAATAATGCAATTACAAATTGTGATAAGCACTATGAAAAATACAAAAGGGTAGCTAAGGCAGTGAAGAGCTAGAACCTACTTCCAAAAGGTTGGTCAGAGGAGCTGTGAGAGTCAAGAGAGCTATTTCTATCCCCCTCCCTTCCCAAGCACATGATAGGAGTGCATTGCCTTGGTCTCCCTGAGGTTTCACAGGGCCTTGGGATATAGGTCTGGCCAATGTGTTGTGCTTCAAAACAACATGTGCCATTTCCTTGATGGAGCATTTAACTGTTGCTCCAGCTCCCTGAGGCATTCTGACTGGGGGTGTGGTCAAGACATGGTTGCTCCCTTAGCCTAGAACTTGGCGTGGCTTCAAAGAACAGAGACCCCTCAGCCAACCAACTTTAAACATGTAGCATGAAAAACAACAACAGACTATAAATGCCTCGAGCCACTGAGATATGGAAGCTATTTGTTAATGCAGCTTAATGGAGTCAATCCTGACTATTACCAGAGGCCTCTGTGAAGAGGCAGAGGGATGATTTATAGAGACTTTAAGACAAGAGGCTTTGAGCTTGACTGGTTCAGAGAACTGAAAGAAGGCCAACATGGCTGGATTATAGTAAATCAGGGAAAAGTAGCAAATAATCTTTAGAGTTCCTTCTACCCTCTCATTTCTTTCCTATTCTGGCTCCGAGGCTGTTCTGATGTTTATATTCTTGGCAATGCTTTCACACAGATTAAGTAGCTTGACTCTAAATACCTTTGATTTGTTTACACACATCAAACTCTCACATTTTATCTCCTGCCTCTGGATTATGATCGTTTTTATTTTTATCAAGAACTTTGCATGTGGGCCATTGATATGATAATGAAATCTTTATGCCTCCTCAGGAGCTGAGGGCCTCTATCCTTTCAGTCACTACTGAGATGCACTTGAGTGTATGACTATTCATAGCTGAGCTGAGGCTTGGGATGGGCTGCAATTTTGCATTTTGCAATTGAATAATATGTACTATTGTGCAATTTTTAAGCTCTCGGGTTTTCATATCAATTTCTAATATTCTGGCAACAGAATGTAGGGAAAAGCCCAAACCTTTATGGGACTCATCATAGCCCCTTTTAATGTATATGTAGGAGCGTTTGCCTTTTGCACTGGAGGTCTGGTTTGAAAACAAAATAAAAACCCCCTAGCAAAAAAGCAAATTGCAGGAGATGCAGTTTATCTTCTTTGGAAGAAAGGAAGAGCTGAGTCAGTCCTCCTTGGATTTGACAACTAAGGTATTTCTTTATCCCTGACACCGCTCAGAGAGAGCCACTGATATTATAACTGCCTTTATTGAAGTTTGGTCGACTTAGAGGAAGTACATCCATTTGATATTACAGTCATTCTTATACCATTCTTAAAGTCTTAAGGACTTTTATTGAGGTGAATGAAATCCAGCTTAAGAAAAATAAAGTAGGAGAGGGAAATGGGTCTAAAATTCAAAAATGGCTCTTTAATAGAGTTCAGGTTCAGTGCTAAGTGCTTTTGTCACTGGAAAGGGACGGGGCCGAGGTGGATCTGTCCCAGCACGGCTTGGAATGTGTGGGTTCTTGAAATTCATGCAAAAAAGAATTTCAGACAGGAGTTCAGGTAATTTTGAGAGTATGTTTATTAAAGCTAGGGACAGTGGAACAAAGGAAGGGCTTAGGTAGAAGGAACAAGCTCACACCAAGAGAGGCGAGCTAGGCTAGGCTACAGTGACAGAGTGAGCTGAGGTGGAGCTGCTTCTGGCTTACTGAGAAGTTAGACAAGAGGAGGGCTCTTGGAGCTTAAGAGAAAGAAAATAAAAGTTCACGCCTGAGGAACGGGAGGCACAGATGCTCAAGGGAGAGTGCTCACTGGGTCCTTTGTCTTGAGGGCTTTTATCTGTTTTGTAAAGGCGGGAATTTTAGGGGAGGATCACAACAGAATATTCATCAGCTTTCCAGGCATTATGCATCGAAATGAGCATATGGCAGAGTTTGGGATCATTTTCTGGTCAGCTTCACCTCCATCTTGGATTTGTCTGGCTAAAATTGGTGCTTTTGTTATTGATTCCCCTGCCTTTATCCATTCCTGGGTTTAGCTGGCACTAACTGGGCCTCTGTTATCCATCTCCCAGACTAGGGTGGCTTAAGCTACCTGCTCTCTGGTTGGGGAGGAGAGAT